ATGATGGTGAAAACTAGAGTAGATTTTGGATGATGGTGGTGATGGTGAAAACTAAAGTAGATTTTGGATGATGGTGATGACGATGGTGATGAGCATGGTGATGACCATGATTCATTTTTAATCAAATCAAAATCCTCTGACTTGACACCCTTACAATAAGTCTTCCCTTTATTCCATGTAGTACCACGAGGACAGAAATGTACAGATCAAATCATCATTGGAACTCCTGGAACAGTACTTGACTGGATTAGAAAGCTACGTACCTTTGAACCCAGAAAGATCCGTGTGTTTGTCCTTGATGAAGCTGACATCATGATTGCCTTACAAGGTCATCAGGACCAGTCAATAAGAGTTCAGAAGTAAGTTATAAATATTAACTATATATATATTTTTATAGTATTAATTATGTATATTATATAAAGAAGAGCTAAAATTAATGGCTGGTCATTKGACAATGGCTGACCAGAATTCACCTTTTCGGCGCTAGCTTGGATTGTGTTACGGTCACCAAAAATCTTGGACATCATTCTCAGATTTCCATACAAATTCACTGACTTKAAAGAGAAAATTTATGTAGATTTCTTTAGTTAGCTATCTTAACAGCAGTAAGAGAAGCTTCAATCAAGCTAGAAAAATGATTATTTACTTGTATTTAGAGAACTAACTAAACATTAACMAAGTAAATAGTTTATTTAGAGTCAGTACATTAATTGTGAGGAAAATCGAGAACAATGTCCGAACTTTTTGGTGACTGTAACTCAACCTAAAACAATTTATACCCCATGACGGCAAGCACCAAAAAGGTGAATTAGAATTTGTCTGGTCAAATCTTTGCCTTGCCTGTGAATTTGGCGACCTGGGTTTGATTCCCGGACTCAGTGTTACATGAGTAGAGTTGCTTGTTAGTTCTCCTGTGCTTCAAAGGTTCTTCACTGAGTTCTCTGTTTTTCTCCCTCAACAAAAATCAAATTCTAAATCCCAATTAGAATTCATTTGAAGAAGAGGCACTTGGTGGAACCTCTATTAATATTATTCCCTTTTATATTCTATAATTTTAGATCATTACCAAACGACTGTCAAACCCTCCTTTTCTCTGCAACATATGACGACGAAGTCATGAAGTTTGCACATTCTGTGGTGACAAACCCCATAGAAATACGTCTCAGACGAGAAGAAGAGAGTCTAGACAACATCAAGCAATACTACGTGATGTGCAACAATGCAGAGGAAAAGTTCCAGGCATTGTGCAACTTGTATGGTGTGTTATCAATCGGGCAATGCATGGTGTTTTGTATGGTAAGTCAAGGCCTTATGTACACAGATAGGCTAAAATTGCTGGTTTTCACTTGATGTCATTCCCTGTAATGTGTGGGAAGTTCATTTACTGAATCGCAAGTTTTCATTAGGATTCTTTCTGGCTGACAGTCCATAGTGGTTAGTGTTTGACCACCATTTGGAGCAAATAATAAGATTTKRGGACTTTTATCAGCTGATTGACACCCAGCAATACACCTCTTAACCTTGGGTGTAATGTTTTCCCATTTCAGACCACATGCCATTCTCTATTCTCTC